CAGAATGCAAGTAAATAACAGGTGAAAGATCTGACTGACTAGTTCACCAAAGAACAGAAAAACGATGTTCAGTGTTACTAGCCGTGAGGGAAGTAAAAACTAAAGCCACAATGTGGGACCACTCTGCACTTAGGAGACAGCACAGAGAAGAAAGGAAAGAAAATGGAATGTGTGAGGCCATGGTGCTGGGGAGGCACCCAGCTGGAGCTCTCCGCTCACTGGAAGACCCAGGGTGCAGCACTCTGGAAAACAAATGGTTTAGCACTTACATCAGTCAGACATGCACTCACCACATGGTCCTGCAGTCCCAAGCCTACAATTTACCCTGGAGACATGAAAGTCAACTCACAGAGAAATCTGCACCTACTGTGCTCCACTTCAAGGATTAGAAAGTGATTCACTTTCTTGAATTCAGTTAATATTCATCGAAAAAAACCAAACTTATGAGTGTTGTGACCTAAAAAGAACTGAAAACACCTGCTCACAAATTTCAGTGGTTTGTTGATTCTGCCTCTTTGGATTTTCACTCCAAATCTTTATTTTTTTCTTTCAACATATATGGTTATTTCAAGGACATTAAATTAAGCATTCATTTTATTAAATAACTGATATATTTATCCTAAAACTAAATAGAATAAATTGTGTGCAATGGCTGCCATCTGGCCTGGTACTGTGCAGGTCCATACAAAGCAGAGAAAGACCAAATGCAGTGAAAGATTAGGTGGGAAAAGGAATCTGATGGGGGCCAGCAGAAAAATAATCCTAAGCAAGAAAAGCTACATGGTGGAGACAATGCAGCATGAATCCCCATTTGGCTTTTGGGCAGTGTGGGCCCAGCAGTTTGACCTGGGCATCTAGATCTTTTGCTGCTATTGGAATGTTTCTCAGAGCCCCAGGGCAGACAGCTTACTCTTAGGCCCCTGTCTTTACTCAACACCATCCTCTTGATTGGTCTGTGTAGCCCCCAGCACACACAGCCTCACTCTGACCAACTACAGCTATGAGAGGCCATGGCTCCTTCTTTGTCATCTGCCCATCCTCAAAGTCATTGTCTACTGGTGTATGGGACCTGCAATGGGAACTGGAGACCCAGGGTATGCAGCTGACATTCTCCAGTGAGTGGATGGGGCCCCTTCTGCAGGAGTGAGTGGGCAAGGCTCCGGGTCCTGTCCCAGCTGCACCTGCCTTTCCATGGGCACAGGAAACCAAGAGAGATAGCAGCCAGGGAACAAGGCCAAGGGTCAGAGACGCAGGCTGAGGCTGCGTCAGGACACCGGAGCTGGGTGGAGACTGGGAGGAGTTGGCAAGAGTGAGCCACCCTGTGATGGAGCCGGCTCTCCATGAGGACCGCTGTGTTGCCTGGCGGCCCCTTCCTTCACCTTCTGCTCATTTCATCCCACCGCATTTTTCTAACAGTTGCATGTCACGCTGTGCACCCCTCCTTGGGGGCTCAAGAAGAGAGACATCCAGCAGATGGAGAGCCAATTTCTAAACACCCCGTGAAGTTGGTGGAAACTCAGGTGTGTGCTGGACAGCCTCACCCATGGGTCAGGTGTGGCCACCACGGAACTTCAAAGGTTCAGAGCAGGAAAGAGGCTATGAGTCAGGTCCATTGTTGCACAAAAATCAATTGGGTCCAAAGTGAAAACATTTATTTAATGAGCAGAAGTGTGTGGCTAGTTGGTTTTGTAAAGGACAAGACTTCCTGCTCCTTCTGAAAAGGGGCATTAGATAAGAAAATCATCTGACAGGACTCTGTCCCTCCCCACAGGGCTCTGGTACAAATGTGTGCCGTGGACAGATCTCTGCAGGGCGATCGTTGAAAATCACAACATGACCTGACTAGCGCCCTGTGAAACCCGGGGTGAGACCGTGAACATCTGTGAACAGCTTTCTGTGTAAAGGCTTTGTCAAGCTGACTTCCAAGGTCTTCTTGTGTCTTGATACATTATTGAATGTGGAATATATAAAAGCTGTCAGAACCAAAATGGAGTCACTTGTGGCAAACCTAACAAAATTAATTTAAAAACTGGGGCTCTCGCACATGTGTCCGAATATAGCTATCACAAGAGATGGGCAGAACCACAGCCTCATGTCTGCCAGCAGCTGTCTGTCCACCCTGGGGGTCAGTAACCCTGATTATTGACCCTTGTAGCCAAGGATTAGTGTGACTGTGCCATCCCCATTTTGCCTTTGAAACCTGCCCTTGCCTCAATCTCCTTGAATGTGCCCACAGCTTCCTGTGGGGTGCGTGATCCCTTGTAATGTTCGTTCTTGAATACCCACTTGCTATTTATGTTGACAAATGTATGTTTGTTCCCTGTGGCCAGTGAAACAAATTACCATAGACTTAAAGCAACACAAATTTGTTCTCACAGTCCTGGAGGCCAAGCCTCCAACATCAAGGTGTGAGGAGAACCTTGCCCTCTGAGGTACTGGGAGGGTCTTTCAGCCTCTTCTAGCCTCTGGGACCCCAGGCACTTCTCTCTTAGGTCTCTGCTTCTACCCTCACTGCATGTCTCTTCTGTGTCCCACCATGATGGGACTTAGGGAAGAACAAGCTCCTCTCAGGAACCCCGGTCAATCACATTTTCTGCTGTATAAGGTGGCACTGGAGGTGGCAGGGTTTCTACGAGGTTTTGTTTTTGTCTGGGAAAGGCATGGTCAGTTCAGGCTGCTGTAAGAACACTATTGGGCAGACATTCCCCTTTCTCACAGCCTGCCACTGCGAGTCCAAGACCCAGGCCTGGCCAGCTCAGCTCTCAGTGAGGCATCCCCCTGCTTCCTTGCTGGGGTGAGAGGAGGAAGGGAGGGCTCTGCTGCCTGGTTAGGGGCTGGTCCCAGCTTGAGTCTCCACTGTCATGACCTCATTGTTCACCCGAGGCCCTGGTCGTAGCACTGTATTGCTTGCTGGGGTGAAAGCTTCAAAAGGTAGATCTGGGGCATGGTTTGGCTTCACAAAGACATTCATAAAATAGCAGTTCCAAACACATTATCCAGTGATAATGTGTTCTATCTTATCTTTCTGGACACTGCCTATACATCCAGCTCGGCCCAGATCTGGGAGTCTCACCTGACTATTGACCTCAATGTTGACACTTAGAAACAATGAAGGACCAGCTGTGCTGCTGTCCAAGTGCTCCCTCACCATAGCTGGGAACCACCCTACTCTTCTGCCACCCTACCCACCCCATTCTCCAGTTCCCACCCATCCTCAGGGTTCAGCCTTGACTCCTCCAAGTGGAAAAGGAACCCCCCTTAGATCTCAGTCTCCCCACAAGCTTCTGACAGTCATGTCTTGTGGCTCTACACTTGCACTGTGGGGTGGCCCTGTGGGGTGACAAACACACTGCACCCACCAACTCAACAGATCCCAGGGTCAGGAGGGAATGTGTTCAGTTACAGCAGCAGTTGACATTTTCTCTCCACCTAGGCAGAAGATCTAGACTCAGTAGATAGGGGCACCAGTTCCATGGTGGGTGCTGTAGCTCCAGGCATCACAGCTACGTTCAGGCAAGGAGAAAGGGGCATGTCATATGTTATCTATACTTGTTCTTTTTTCCAGAAAAATCAAAAGTTTATCCAAAAAAAAAAAATTGCCTCTGTAGCTTACTTCCCTTCAGTCAGGACTGGCTGCCATAGCTGTAAGAGATGGATTTCAGTCCTCTGTGATGGAGTAGGGAAAGGTGAATAGGGTGATGAACCAGTCCTCTGAAAAGCCTTCTTTTCATTTCTTTCAGGATGAGAAAAGGAGTTTGGAGTGCAGCCAGTCCATGGTCACAAAGCTACGGAGTCTGCCACAGTACACTAGCTCACTGCTCAGATCAGACTGTGTTCTGACCATGTCTCTGGCCCCAGCTGCAAACTCAGCAAGGGACTGTCTCAATCTATTTCCTACTTTATGCTGCTGCTTCCAGGTGTGTGAAAGCAGAGTGTTGACCCAGGCCTTGGCTTCACCTGGTGCTTACAATGGCTCTTAGCCCACATCAAACAGCCTCCCAGAAGTGACCAAGGCTATACCTGGCATCCCCGGGGGGTGGGTCAAGGGAGTGGAGCTGGATGGGGCTGAGGCTGTTGACCTGAGGGCTGGTGGGCCAAGATGAGCATTGTGTGATGGTGGTAGGAACAGGATATGAGCTCCTTTTTGGAGGAGGCCTCAGGCTTTCTGAAACCTGGCTACCCAGGACTGCACTGCCTGGTCCAGAGGGACCTTGAGCCCTGGGCCTCTCCAGCCTTGGAAGTTAGGAGGTAGAGCATTGGGCAGAATGGGCCTAGAATGGACCTTGTCCTTACCTAGAAGGGGTCTCCATCTGGGTGGAGGGGGAGACACCTGGGGGTGATCTCCACAGCTTATGCTGCTGTGATGCAGAACTACGGGCACTTAGGAGGAAAAGCTGGACAGGGAGTTTTCCCTGAAAGTCTCATTTCTGAGTGCTGGTGACGGCAGGAGTCAGCCAGGCCTCTCTCCCTGCTCCGCTCCCCTCTGGTAACCTGGTCTCTTGGAGATGACTGACCCTGCAGGTTGGGGTAGGCTCCGGGTCCAGGTCCAGGCTGGGGTTGTGGGAGCCTCTCTGGAGGGCTCCCAAGGACGGGCACAGACGGGGGGCAGCGGGAGATAGCTCAGACCTCCGCCTTCCGGGGTTGGGGGCAGAACCCGAGTTACCCGCCCTCGGACGCTGGCAAGACTGGGGCAAGTGCGCAGAGGGTGGGAAGGCAGCCCGGGTGGATGGGGAGCGATGCGGAAACGGGGGACCCGAGGGGAGGGTGTCAGGACGACCGGGTTCCCAGAGGAACCTGTAGCGCAACCCCATCGCGCTCACTCGGGTTATTGCTGGAGCGCACGGCATCACGCGCGGAACCCGGCCTGAGAGCAAGTGAGCGCGCAGGCCCCGCCAACGGGGCTCTGACCACGCCCACAAGGCCCCGCCCCGCCTGGAGTTGGCCCCGCCCCTCCCGGGCCACCCTACTGCGCAGGCGTGGCGTGGCGTGCGTTTGAAAGCATGGCGCCAGGTCCGAGGCTGGTGCTCTCCGAGGATATGGTCCGGGAGCGCAGCGGCCTTGGTCCCCACCGTGACCTGGGTGCGCGGCGAGAGAACGAGCGGGGTTCGGGCTTCCCTGAGGCGCCACGACGACCACCTGACGCTTCCGCCTCAGTGCCGACGCCTCCCGGCCCCAAACGGTTGCGGGCCGACGGGGGGCGGCGGGGCCCGGGGCCGGGGCCGGGGCCGGGGCCGGCGTGGGGGGCCGGGCCCGGGACGGGGGGCCGCGCCAGGTGTCAATTGGCCCGCCCTGGCGGGTGTGAGGTGGAGCGTAGGTGGTCGGCGAGAAGGGGGCGGAGCGTAGGTGGTCGGCGAGAAGGGGGCGGGGCCAAGAGGCGGCTGTCAATTAACCCGCGCGGTGGGTTTGCCGTACGGGGTCCCCACTGAGTCCACGCTGAGCGGGCCGCGCACCCCCACACAGCTCCAGCTCCCTGGATTCACCTGCTCGTATTTTGCTGAGAATTCGTATCTGTGCTCCGGGGGACCGAGGTCGCTATTTCTGTATTGTTTGGTCGTCAGAACCCCTTCTGTTTTTCCTAAGAGCTTGTGCGCAGTTTGTGCTACTTATTTGCATGTTTCATGGAATTTTTCAGCAAAACCATGCGGGCCTGGAAATTTGTTTTGAGCCTGTTAAATTACAAATTCGCGTCCGTGTTCATCAGTTTCATCGTTAGTGGGTTTCGGTTGTCCTAGGCTTTTGCTAAATTGATGCATTTTATCTTCATTGTCACATGTCTGTGTCTGACATTCCTTAACTGACTTATTGATGTCTGTTGTAGGGACGGCCTCTCTTTCATGGGTGACACTGTTAAGAAGTCGCTGGAGGTTTGTGATTGTTACCGATCGTTTCAGAGAGCCCACTTTTGGGTTAATTTGCTTTTCTTCAATGTTTTCCTGGTTTCACATTTCACTGATTTCTGCTCGTTGTTTGCTTTTTTCCTGACTTTGCATTAATTTTTCTCCCTGTCTAGATTCTAGAGGCAGAAACAGAGTATTGAGTTTAAAGGTTCCCATTTTCTAATTTTAATATTTTAGTGCTGTAAATCTCTCTCTAAGCTCTGCTTGAGCTGCATCCACAACTTTTGTTGATGCCACAGTTTGATTTTCATTCAGTTCAGTATGTTTTTAAGATTTCCCTTTGGACTTCTTTGACCTATGGATTATTTAGTTGTTTTTACATGCTCGTGTATTAGGAAACTTTCCTGTTATTTTTCTGTCGTTGATTCTAGTGTGATTCCATTATGGCAATAGAACATAACTCTGTGATATTAATTCTTTTAAGTTGGTGGCTGGTCGTTTAATGACCCAGGGTCTCATCTATACTGGGGAATGTTCCAAGTGCCCTTGCAGAGAATGTGTTTTGCTGAGTGGAGGGTTAAGGAGATGCGGTAGATCGTACTGGCTGATGGCCTTCTGTTCCGCCAGTAGGGTTTTCTGTCTAGTGATTCTGTTGACAACTGAGAGAAGGGCTTGGAAACTCCTAACTGTCTGTTTCTCTTTTCATGTGCTTTGAAGCTCTGTTAACTGGTGTATTACATATTTAGGATGTTTGTTTCTTGTTGGTGGCTTCTTTAGTATATGTCTTGTTTCCCTTTGTCCTTAGTTATTTTCTGGGTTGAGACCTGTACTTTATTTGACAGTAGTGTAGCTACCTTCTTTTATTTTAAGCCTGCTTACTCATTATTTTTAAGTGTCTTTCTTAGTTCATTATTTTTATCTTTTAGTAGTACTTTTAGAACATTTATGTTTACTGTAATTAATGTAGCAGAACTTAGATGTGCTATTTTCCTTCTGTTTCTCTTTTCCTGCCTTCCCAAAGTTTGAATGTTTTTGAAATATAACTTACTGTTATATTTCAGTCTCTCTGTGTGATTTTTCTTAGTGGTTACTGTTCATGTTACAATAAAAACGTATAATTAAAAAGTTTGCTAGTGTGGACATTTTACCACTTACAAGTGAAATATAGAGCCTTTTCTGCCATTTAAATCTCTGTCCCCGCCTTTTATAATTTATTTTTTAATTTGATTTTTTTGCATAACAAAGTCTTTACTTTTAAATGATTATCAGTGCACCAAATAACATGTAGTAAGGTCTTGAGTCCTATATCATCTAGCAATTTTGATTAAGTTAACTAACAACAGCCCAAACAAGTGTACTAGTTGTTCATTGTTCTAACCCTTGCCAGAATGGACCACTTTAAGACTGCTGTTGCTTTGTACAAGTTATAAATATCTATTTACTATAGTTTTTTTCTTTTTTAAACTTTTTATTTTTTTAATTTAGCTTATTTTTATATTTTTATAATTTAACATTTTTAATTTGATTTTAGTTTTGTTTTAACTTTTAAATTAAAAAATCAAAATATTAATTTTTTCTTTTATTTTAAAAAATTAAATATTTTTAATGTTTACTGCTTTTTCATAGATAAAGCCACTGACCTTTAAGAACATATAAAGGAAAAAAATTATTTAATCTTTTTTGTTTTTACTTATGAATTAGCTTAATGAATTAGCTTTTTTTCCTATAAGATCCAAGAAAGAAAAAGTCAACACTGATATATGTTACTTAAGCCAAAAGGCATAGGAAAACACAGTATGGACCCATTACATGAAGAAATAGGAAGTAAAAATGTGACACTTTTGAGTAAGTCCTAAAGTTTGCACAAAGACTAGCTTTGCTATTCTGCAGTGAGTGAAGGACCCTGCTGTAGCATAAGGAAACTGATGCCTTTCATGACAACAGAACCAGAGCTTTGCTAATACTCCATATTCCATGAGTCATCCTCCACACCACACCACTTGCCTGTTCATTTATGTGGTGGTGGTCATGGATTTCTGACCAGATGTCACACACGAAGGTTATCCAAGACTTCATCCCTGTTATGCAGAAAGTGGGTCTGGAGGGTGGTCATCAACTGGGTTGCTCTTTCCACCTCAGTGCTGCAGGCTGTGGGCTTCTGGCTGCAGCTTCCTTGGCTTTGAACTCTTCTTCCTTCTGCAAGGTACTGTTCCATTTTAGCCTGAGCTGCCTTGGCCTGCTTCATCCTCTGGTTTGTTGGCCTGTGGGCCTTGGGCATCTTGGCAGCCCACTTCTCAGCCTGCAGTTGTTGATCCTCTGCAACTGACTGGCCTTGGTTGTGGTGACTAAGAGGCCAAGGCAAGGGATCTAAATCAGTGCGATGGCCCCTCAGGTCAGCTGACCTACTTGCCCACTCCACTGTTACAATGTAGTCATCTTGACTATTCCTCTATATAACTTGAGAACCACATTAGTGGTAACAATTATTATTATTTTTTTTTATAACCACCTAACATTTTAAGTGACTTAGGTGGGGACCTATTTACCCATACTTACCTGTTGTATTATTCTTACTTCATTCCTGGGACATTTTGGGTGTTGTGTTATAAGACCCTGCTTCCTGTTCACATCTTCATTCTGTGCTAGTGCCTGCTTGGCATAATTTTCTTGCTGAGATGGCAGCTGGGCTCCTGTCTTGGGAGGGTGAACAGCTCACCTTGCTGTGCCAGGACAGAAGTCAGTGTCCACTCACAAGCACATTCTTTTCTCAGTACCTGGCTGGAATAGGGCTGATGTAAGGGAGTCTCTCCACCAGGCCCTGCTGGCCTCTGACCATAGGGAATGACTTGGCTGTCATTGGTATTTCTGGAGTGTAGCGTTTGTGGCACTTAGTTTGGGACATAGGAGATGTGTGCGTACACAGACACCCCAGAACCCACCCAGGTTTTCACTGCTCAGTCATTTTGAGCCCTGAGGTGCCTGGGTAGTTGGTCTCTGTCCCTCCCTTTCAGAGTAATCCAGTGCTTACCTACTACGTTTTTGTCCAGTGTGTATGGCTCTGATATATTGGGAGGAATATGTTGAAATGCATCCACGAGTCTTCTCAGGAACTAGAAGTCCTCAAACCACATTTTTCTTGATTTTTGAGGCAGGGTCTTATGTAGCCCAGGTTGACATTGAACTCAGTCCTCCTGCCTCAGCCTTCCAAGTGCTGGATTTATAGGTGTGTACCACATCTGACCTCAAACCACATTTTAAACTCAATGAAAACTTATTTTAAAACATAAGTTTTCTTGGGAAAGTGGTTAAGCCACTCTGTCTTTGATTACAGAAACTTATTTTTGTGGTGGTGTTTAGATAACAACTGAATACTGTGTCTGTCTTGCAAAGGCAAACAGATCTGCTGAGCATTCGGAGTCTGCCCAGAAGTAAGGGACTGGTGGTTTCAGTTGTGACCCCCTTCCTGGAGGTCACAAGGGGCTGGAGCCAAGTACTCAGGAGTGGAAGCAGAGTCAGTGGGGGGAGTGCTCCTGGGAAGAAGAGGGGGTTTGAGGAAGAAGCCACAGTGGGAAGAAGGGATGAGCTAAGAGACATTTCAGAGAAAGCATAAGCTAAAACTTTGAATGCAGTCCTTACTCTTTAATGTTGGCAATTAAACTTTAAGCGAGTTGTATTTTCTAAGTTACCTTTTCTTTTAAAGATTATATGGTTACTATGTCTCACTACAAAAACACTTGGAAAATACAGAAATGCAGAAGGAGAAAAATAAAGGGATTTATTCCACAGTGGGATAAATGCATTAATATGTTATGCCTTTCTTTCAGTTTTTCTATGTGTATGTGTATTAGAGAGAAATTATTCAGTGTCACTTGTTAAAGAACAGTAAGGCCTGGCCTGGTGTGACAGCCCTGAGCCTGTAATCTCAGCACTCACGAGACTGAGTGCTGCATCCAAGGCCAGCCTGGGATACATAGTGAGACCCTCTCTCAAAAAACAATCAAGAACAGTAAGGAAGACTACTGAGGACCATCAGGATAGATACAGGAACCACTGCAATAGGATTTTGAGGGAGAAATTGGATTCAATTCCCAAGGCAGTGTGAGCCAGTAGGCATTTATAGCTAAGGAACAGAAACATGAGGGATCAGAGGAATTCTTGCTGAAGACAGGCCTCAGGCCTCACCCGAGGAAGATGGAGTTCTAGGGACCTGGTGAGGTATCAAGGTGGTTGTAGGTGAAGTGACTTAGCAGGGTTCTTTGCTAGCACTGGATTTTACAGGGAAGCACACAGATGAACCTAGAAGTGGGTCCAAGAGCCTGACTACAGTTTATCAAGCAGTCTTCATCAGTATCTGCTATACCTCTAAACACTTCTATTATAATATTTATTTTCAGTTAAAAAAAAAGGATTTAAATCTTTACAATTTTGTATTCTTAGCTGAGCTTCGATCATTATCTGTTCCTGGAACTTATCAAGAGAAGATTACTCACCTCGGGAACTCCCTGATGCGTCTGACAGGTCTGAAGTCCTTAGATCTCTCTCGCAACTCACTGGTCAGTCTCGAGGTGAGTTTTAGGTTTGTTTGTTTGTTAAAAGAAAATGTATAATTATCAGTATCAGTGGGAAGTATGTTTGTAGCAAAAAGTGCGGTGTGTTTTGAAGCTGCATGTAACTCTTATAAACTGTACACTTAAAGTGATTGTAAGTGTTGTTACTGGTGCTTTCTGTAGGGTATATTTCATATGCATCACTTAATGTCTTCAAGCCTTTTTGAAAACCAAAATCATAGCTTTCTGAAGAAGATGGTTTATCTCTAAAGGGAATGAAACAAGATCCCAAAGACTAAAGTGTGTGTGCCCATCCCTCCCATCCCTTATCAGCTGTGTTTTCCTTCTTTGTGTGCTTCATATCCACTTAAGGCCCCGACTATAAATGGTAGTGTATGAGCTCAGGGCTTTTTGCAGTGAAGCCAATGAGCAGGTGCATAGTCATAATAAGGGAATAAGTCACCAAGGTGGGCTGGAGGTGTGGCTCAAGTGGCAGAGCACCTGCCTAGCAAGTGCAAGACCCTGAGTTCACACCATAGTACCACCAAAAAAAACCAAAAAGTCACTGAGGTGATACAAGTGGGAAGGTATGTAAACCTTGCTTGTGACAGTGTTTCACCCAGATTTCAGTGAGTGAGTCTTGTCTTGATAGAAACTCAGGATGTCACTGCTTGGGGTCATGGTTCCAGGTCAGACCACACATGACATGGCTTCAGGTCTGGCTTAGTTAGATGCGGGCTCCAACCTAGGCTGTACCCAGGGCTGGCTCCTCTCTCACCCTTCCAACTATCAGTCTCCTGACCTGTGCAGTGAGATCACTCACAGTTCTGACCCTGTCAGGCTGCATACAGAGTAAGTGAAATTGTGTGAATTACCAGCTTGATGAATATTGGGCACTCAGGAGAAAGTAGGTTCACTTAGTACCATTAGGAATGGCAGACTCGCATTCAGAATCTCAATAGGGTCACGCCCCAGTGGAGAGCACCCTCTATTTTTATGCTGTTTCTGGTATCAGCATGCATTCATTACAAGTGTGTTTTGTTGGTTGATCAGCCCTAATGTTTTATTTTGCAGTGTGAATTGATCCAGATCTTTTCCTGTTAACAGGGCATTCAATACCTGAGTTCCCTGGAGAGTCTTAATCTCTACTACAACTGTATTCCCTCGTTAGCAGAGGTCTTTCGGCTCCACTCCTTAACTGAACTCCAGGAAGTGGACTTCCGGCTGAACCCTGTCGTGAAGAATGAGTCTGACTACCGCCTATTTGTCGTGCACATGCTCCCCAAGCTTCGACAGCTGGGTAGGCTGTGCTCTGGATTCTGTACTGCTGGTCTGAGTCTCTGCAGATACACAGTTTGGGGTCCTTTATCTTCATAGAGTGGGTCTTGTGAGAGGTCCCTGGGAAATGGACATAAGACCACTGTCCTGGGCCAGGCTGCTGTGTCCTGTTTTGGCACAGAGGACTCCACCTTCCAGATATTTGATGTGGGCATGTTCCTGAACTTACCCTGCCTTGTTTCCTTGCCTGGCTCTCGGGTATCATGTTGGGATCAGCTACAGAGTTGGATTCTCCCTAGTTTTGCATCCACCTGGAAGGACACAGGCGAGCAGTTCATTGTGTCCCTCAGGTGCTGAGGATCAGAAGGGACAAAGTGTGGCAACCATTGGCTTTACAGTCTCATGTTCCTAAAAGATATGGGTTTCTCAGTCTCTTGTACAGAGCATCTCCAGCCCTCACATGCACTAGGGAGAGTCCCTTGGTCAGGACAGCCACAGAGCACCTCCCTATCCACCAACTCAGGTGGTATTTTTGCTGTTAGTTCTGTGGTACTGGCTCTGTGAATGCTGCCTGGGCCATGCTTCCCAGGAGAGAGCTAGACCTCAGCCGAGGGCACATGGACCAAGAGACTGGGAGAAGGGGAGGGTTTCAGGGGGTCTTACCCTCAGTCCTGCTGTGTGATATAGGTGATAGAATGTTGAGTTTACAATCCCTGAGTTAATATCTGAAAGCTCTCAGGACATCCCTGTCAGGACTAGGGGCTCATAAGTTTCCCTGACACTTTTGTTGTTATTGAAATCTGACCTCCCACACACAGTGGTTGTTCTTCTGAATCCAGAAGGTCATCAAAAATAAAAGAATCAACAAAGGACAGTCTACTTTTCCCTCACAGCAGATGTCCTGAATAATGTGCTGTCTAAGAACATAGATGCCATTCAAGTTCCTTTGGAAAATTGAGATCTAAATGTCAATTTTAACAACAGCTGATGTCTCTTGAGTACATGCAAGTTTGTCTGGCCCCTGTGCATGGGCTGTGTGGGCTGAGGGTCAGCCCTGGCTTTATTCCCCTGACATGAACACAGGGCAGACATCAGCAGTCGGCACACCCACTTCACCGAGCACCAGGGAACGGGCATGGTGTCAGCCCTGTCCTGTAATGATAGAGTGATAGAGTGCTTCAGTGAGGGGACCCGAGCTGGAGCTAGTCTAGGCCACGTGGGCTGGCATGTTGTTGCAGCAAGGACCGGGATGTCTTGACCTCGAGGCGAGTCTGTGTGAAATGGAGTTCTGGCATTTTAACTGTGCTCTACAGCTTAGAGATGTTTCTGGAGATGCTGCAGGAGCTGTCTGTCAGCATGAAGTGCACACATCCCTTTTGTTTTGGTCCCTTTGTATGATGGTGTAGATTAGTGATGTGCACTAAAGTCCTTATAAACAGTTCTCTGTTAGAAGTGCCACCGTCAGCACATGGCCACAAATCTGCCTGTTCAATAACTCAGTCGGAACTGTTTTCTGAAGCCCTCTGCAGGAGACTTGAGGAACTGAAGAATAACCCCTAGCTCTGACTGGTCTCCCTAGCCCATAGCTTTCACTTTTGCAGGAGCTCATCTCTTGGGCACTACGGGCTGATTGGTGGCTGGTGGCCTGTCACCTCTGCAGTAATAGCCATGTGTCCTTAGCCCAAGGTGGAGACACTGTTGAGTGAGAGCTGAAGGACTCGGAGTATCTGCCTCCTGTGTGCTTACCCTGTGGTGCCTGGTGAGCTTCAGCTCCGGCACACCATGAGCACAGACACTGATGTTGCTGCTGCTGGGCCATGGACACACCCAAAGGCTGGCCAGTGACTATAGACCCCATGTCCTGCAACTCAGTTCTGACATGTGTGTGTTTTTGGTGTTGGTCTTCTGAGAGTATAGCTGCATTGTTAGGCCACATGTGTTGGGCTTGGGAGCAGGTGGGCTGTGTGCCTAGAATACACTGTTTAGTTCAAACCTACTTGGAATTTCCACATTTAATTTGAAGAAGCTTGGGAGGAAAAAGTGCTTGCATTGTAACTTTCACTTGACGTTTAACTGAGTAACTTATAAACAGTTGAGCTTGACTCTTTTTAGAAGCATTACAACCATGGGTACTTTTGAGATCCCGTTGCCATAGAAGTTTTAGATTCAGAATCTTAACAGTGTTTATGTAGAGAAGGAATATAAGAGTCTTACCACATGCAAAAGTTATTTCTAGACACAATAAAGGAACAATATTGAAATCAAAGTCATTGGAAGAATCTTCTTCAGATCCCTCCCCAACTCACTCTCAGGTGCCCTAGGAGAGTCTGTCCTGACCAGAACCAAGGAACACGGTGTTGTGGTTGTGGGAGGGAAGCTGAACGCCCTGGAGGGGTACACAGGAGGAGGATTGGCTATGAGAGGAAGCACTGGGGTCAGGGAGAAGGCTGTTGGGAGGGTGTGGCTTGGGGAGGAGTGGTGCTGGATATAAGTTTATGGTAATTTTCAGTGCGCCATAAGGTAAATGCTCTTCGGGAGGTAGTGTAGGACCTTACCCACATACACAACATTAATTCTGTGATAAAACGTGGTGAATTCCAAGATTGGGGACCTTCTCATCCTTAGGTATTTGTGTAAGGAGGTCCTGGGAGTTATTTGTAGAGGTTTTCTGAGGGCCCAGGTCCCCATCAGGGGCAGTGGGACTTCTTGTCTGTCTTGTGGTCCAGCCCTGGGGATCTGAGGCTGCATCCCTTAAGGGCACACTCATAGTCCCAGTCTTTCTCAGCATGTTTAGGAGTCTACTCCATACAAACTTCTTTTTTTTGGCATCACTGGGGTTTGAACTCAGCAGTGTTCTTACTGCTTGAGTCACTCCACCAGCCATGCAAACTTCTTAGTGTACCTGTGTGACAAGAGTCTCATCCAGAGTCTGGTGCACACATTTAAGGATGTGTGTGTGTCTACCTCGTGAGTGCACTGCTTTTCCTTTGGGCAGCAGCCTGCCCCCAAGCAACCTGTAAGCAGTGATCTTTGACAGATCAGGCCGACCCCTTTGCACTGTACTTGGCATAGCTGGGAAACTAAGCTTAGCCACCAGAGCCCAGCATTTCTGAACTGTGCAGACCACATAATGAGAGGGTGGCATGGTTGGGTCAGTCATGAGGGGTTGCAACCTTCCTGTTCAGTAAGCTCCGGAGTGAGGGCCTGACACTTCTCCCATGAGGAAGGAGGCCACCAAGCCCCCCTACTGTCCTCCATGGTTCTCTGGAATTTTTTCCCTAGATGATCGTCCCGTGAGAGAAAGTGAACGGAAGGCTTCCCAGCTGTATTTTGCTTCAGAGGACTCTCTGGACTCAAAGGAGATTTTCGAGGCCACTTTGACAGCTGGAAGGTATGGACAGATGTAGTTCTGATACCTGAGATGATTTTCAGACATGCCTGTTGTCAGATGTTCAAACATAGGGGTAGATGTTTGTGTGTCGACTTCCCTTGAAAGACAGACAAGCAGGAGCGGATGGGAGAGGTGCCCATCCAGCGCCGGCTGGCGTTCAAGAAGATGGTGGGACAGGGTCTCTCTCCCTGTTTTCCACATTCTCTGGAATTTTTTTTGGCGTATGTATAATCTTTATTTGTCAGACTTTTTCATTTTTAATTGTTTTATTTTTAGGAATCATCAACAGTGTAAGGGAGTTGCGTTGTGAAAATTTCATACAGTGTACAGTGTACTCTGAGCAAGTTTACCCTCCACTACGTTCCCTTACTTCTCCCTCCTTAAACATATTTTCTCGGCTTCATTATGCTGTCTTCATACATATTCATGTGATACACTCATTATCCTATGATTGTTGTAATGGGGGTACATGGACATTTACAAAAGTGCTTACAATATATCATAGTTGAATTCACCCACTCCATCATTCTCCTTTATCCCTCCTACCCCCATTCTTAGAATAGTTTTACCAGGTCTCATTTTTCCATTTTCATACATGAGTACATAACATTTCTACCACATTCATCCTCCTACACCCTTTTCTTATATCCTCCCCTTCCCACTGATGCCAACCAACCCTCAAACAGGACCTGTTTTACCTTCCTGTTCTCTGTTTTTGAAAAAAAATACATTTTTGCTTGTTTAAGATAGCTATACAGGTGTTTCATTATGATATTTCCATGTATGTATGTATTATAACCCAAATTGGTACATCCCTTCTATTTTTCTCCTTTCTGTCTTAGTCCCCTTCTTATGGGGACTAAACCTGATTTCAATAGGTTTACTGCAGCAAACATCAGTGTGCAAGTGTCTTTATTGTAACCTAACTTACATTCCTTTGGGTATATTCCCAAGAGTGGTATTGCTGGATCATACAGTTCTATTTTCAGTTTTTTGAGGAGTCTCCATAATGTTTTCTATAGTAGTTCACTAATTTACATTCCTACCAACAGTGTATGAGGATTCCTTTTCACCTACATCCTCACCAATATTTGTTATTGTTTGTGTTCTTGATGATAGCCATTCTAACAGGAGTAAAGTAGAATCTTAATGTTTTAATTTGCATTCCCTTTCTGGCCAAGAATGTTGAGCATTTCTTCATGAGTTTTTTGGCCATTTGAATTTGTTCCTTTGAAGCTCTGTTCAGTTCATTTGGCCATTTCTTCATTGGGTCATTGGATTTTTGGGGAGTTTAGTTTTTTTAACTCCTTCTATATTATGGTTATTAATCCCTTTTCAAATATATAGCTGGCAAAGATTTTCTCCCATTTCTTTTGTTGTGCAGAAGCTTTTTAGTTTCGTGTAGTCCCATTCGTCAGTCCTTCCTCTTAGTTGCTGAGCCATTTGAGTTCTATGTAGGAAGTCATTGCCTATGCCTATTAATTCCAATGTATTCCTGTACTAACTTCAAAATTTCAGTCTTATATTAAGGTCATTAATCCACTTTGAATTGATACTTGTACAGGGTGAAAGACATGGATCTAGTATCTGTTTTCTGCATGCAGAAAGATATCCAGATATCCAGTTTTCCTAGCAACATTTGTTGAAGAAGCTATCTTTTCTCCATCATATGTTTTGGGCACCTTTGTCAAAAATCAGGTGGGCATAGCTGTGTGGGTTCATATCTGGGTCTTCTGTTCTGTTCCATGGGTCTTCATTCTGTTTTTGTGCCAGTATCATACTGTTTTTATTGTTATGGCGCTGTAGTATAGTTTGAAGTTGGGTATTGTGATACCTCTAGTGTTACTCTTTTTTGCTCAGTATTGCCTTGGCTACTGGTGGTCTTCTGTGCTTCCAAATGAACTTTAAGGTTGATTTTTCAATTTCTGTGATGAATATCAGCATTTTGATGGGGATTTCGTTGAATATGTAGATTGCTTTTTGGTAATATAGCCATTATCACAATATTGATTCTGCCAATCCATGAACATGGGAGATCTTTCCATCTTCTGTAGTCTTCTTCGATTTCTCTCTTCAGTGGCTTATAGTTTTCATTTAGAAGTCTTTTGCTTCCTTTGTTAAGTTTGTTCCTAGATATTTTATTTTTTTGAGGCTATTGTAAATGAAATTGTTTTCCTTTATTCTTTCTTGGTTTGTTCGTTGTTGATATATAGAAAGGCTACTTACTGCTGTTTCTTTTGTTGTTGAGTTCTAGTTTTATTGTGTTGTGGTCAGACAGTATGCAGGGGATATTTCAGTTTTCTTATATTTGTTAAGACTTGCTTTGTAACCTAAAATATCTATTTTGAAGAAAGTTTCATGGGCTGCTGAGAAGAATGTATATTGCGCCATTGCAGGATGATATACTCTGGAGATGACTGTCAGGTCCATTTGATCTATACTGACATTCAATTCTAAAGTTTCTTTGTTGATTTTTTGTCTAGATGACCTATGTATTGGTGATAGAGGATTATTGAAGTCTCCCACTACCACTGTACTGGGGGGGGGGTCTGTCTGTGTTTTTAAGTTCAGTAGTGTCTGTTTAATGAAGTTGGGTGCTTCAACATTAGGCGCATATAAGTTAACAATTGTTATTTCCTCTTGATGTATTGCTCCTTTTATTAGTATGAAATGACTTTCTTCATCTCTTCTGACTAATTTAGGTTTGAAGTCTACTTTATTTTATATAAGTCTAGCTACTCCTGCCTGTATAGGTGGGAGCCATTAGCTTGGTTAATCTTTTTCCACCCTTACACCCTAAGCCAATGTTTGTTTCTGTCTGTAAGGCAGGTTTCTGATAAATGACAAATTATCAGGTCTCTCTTTTTAATCCAGTTCGCCAATCGATGTGTTTTGATAGAGGAGTTGAGACTGTTAACATTCAGTGTTAATATTGAGAGGTATGTGGTGATTCCATTCATTTAGTTGTTTTTGTTGTTGAGTTTGTGTGTGTACAATTAATTCTGTGCTACTCTCTAATTGCTTGTCTGCTCTCCTCTTGAGATTTAATAATTCCCATCCTTTCATGGCTGTTTATTTTCATTGGCTATGTGCAGGATTCCTTTGAGAGTCTTTTGGAGTATTGGTTCAGTGATCATGTTTTGTTTTTGTTTCTGTTTATCAGGGAAGGTTTTTATTCCTCTTTCAATTCTGAATGATAGTTTTGCTGGGTAGGAATATCCTAGGATTGAAATTGTTTTCTTTCGGTGCTCAAAATACCTCACTCCATGTCCTTCTTGCTTTTAAGGTTTCTATTGAGATGTCTGCTCTTTGTCTTTGTATGTCGTGTGATTTCTCTCTTACAGCTTTCAATATTCTTTCCTTGTTCTCTGTGCTAATTGTTTTAACTATAATATGCTGTGGAGAGGTTCTATTTTGGTCATGTCTGTTTGGTGTTGTGGAGGCTTCCTGTACCTGAATGGGTATCTCTTTCTCTAGATTTGTTTCGTTTTCTGCTATTATTCTGTTGAATATATTTCCTATACCATTGGCTTGCATCTCTTCTCTTTCTTCGATGCCCATAATTTTTGTAGGTTTGGTCTTTTGATGTAATCACAGAGTTCTTGCATATTCCTTTCACAGTTCTTAGTCTTTTCTCTAAGTATTCTTCTGTTTTTCTTTAATATCTGTTTTGCCTTCGAGCTGTGAAATTTTGTCTTCCACCTGTTGCAATCTGCTGGAGTGGCTTTCATGGCTTTCATTCGTATTTTTTTAATTTGACTTATGGAACTTTTTGTTTCCAGGGTTTCTCTTTCTTTCTTTCTTTCTTTTTTTTTTTTTTTTGGAGACTTTACACATCTTTGTTGAGCTCCTCCCTCATATCTTGTATTGCTTTATTTATTTCATTTATCTCTTTTTTTGTAATTCTCTTGGCATCACTTCAGAGTTTGTTGAAATCCTCTTTGAGTTAACTTAGTTGTTTCTGTGTCTTGACATTTTTATCCATGTTCTCCTGGCATTCATTGAACTGTTTTCATATACTCTCTTTAAGCTCATTAAACATTCTTATTATCATTCTTCTGACCTCAGCAACTGTCCCCTTCCTGTCCACGAAATCCTCTATTGTGTGATCATTAACCTTTTGAGAAGTCATTCCCCTACCTTCTTTTATTCCCCATGTTTCTATTTTAAGATTTGCTCATGTGTTGTTTGTTAGTTTGGGGTTTTAAACACCCGTTATCTTTCCTTTGAGTTAATTTCTGTGCTCTGTCTAGCTTAAGTGTTAGCTAGGTTGTTGTAATGTTTCTGTTCACTGACCTCTAGGTATAACTTAGCAATAACAAATTCATGGATTCGATCCTGAACCAGTAATTTACGTAATTTATAAAGACCTTGGCAATATTATCTATAAACAGCAGGTACTGGGGAGATAACAGTTGTTTTCATAGAAATTGATATTTAGGTAATTAAAATGATGACAATAGAAGAGGAGACAAGGGCTTGAGGCAAGTGGGAAAGGGGTTTGAGGTGTGGAGGCCATGGGATGATAAGTCTAATGTGTGTTTGGTGTAGTTCAGTCATCGTGGAGGAGGGTGCGACTGTCAGGGATTGCAGAGGGATAGGAATGATGGGGTACTTTGTAAAGTTGATATAATAGACTACTCAGTGAGTGGTTAGTGTGGAGGAGATAAGGATGGGGGAAGGGAAGAAGATAAGGAGAGGGAAGGAAGAAAGAAAAGAGAAAAAACTTGGGGAGCAAAAAAGTATGTGACAAGTGTATGTCATGAATAAACAGAGCAAAGTGCTTTTAAGAGTTTTGTAAGGAGACTGTCTCAGTTGTCTTCCTTTTATTTGCTGTTTCATGGATATTGTATTGAATAACTTGTTCCAGAAATGTAAACACTTATTAAAAGATTATACCACTAAATAAATTGGGGGAGAGAAAAGAAAGTGAACAAAGAGGGCTAAGAAAATTAAAATTTTAACAAATAGGAAAAGGAGATGGGTAACAAAAAGAATAA